GGATGTGAATATTCTCGCGTGTGCAGCGACAGGACTTCGAGCAAATGCACTGTTGGGAATGCGTCACACTAGGGTCCCGTTCTGGGGTCAGTTACCTCCTGAGATCCATCTGGAGAACGGCTGGATGAGTCACAGGCGCTAACTTAATCTAGAATTTCGGGTCGCGCGAAAAAGCCCACCTGGTCACCGAGAAGTCCGATCTGATCTTTAATCTTTGTCTGACCGCCTGTCTGTCTGTCCGTCTGTCGTCTGTCTCTGTCTGTCTGTCTGTCTGTCTGTCTGTCTGTCTGTCTGTCTGTCTGCCTGATTTACGGTACGCCGGCGGCTGGCTTTGCCTGGCTTTGCCTGGCTTTGCAATGCAGTGTGAGGTCCTCTTGCGTCAGGGCGCCCCGCGCCACCGCCACGCCCCCAAGCCGCGTGCACGCGCGGGTATGAAAAATTTCGCGTTCTGCGCGCTCCGATCGGAGTGAGGCGTGAGGGGTTGCCGTGCCGGGCAGGCAGGATGGGCTGCCGAGGCCCAGGCCGGTGCCCAGGCCCTGTCGGCGAGGCCGTGTCCGTGCCGCGCCGTGCCGCGCCGTGTTGCCCGGGTGGCTCTGCGCTCGTAAACGCTGATGCGGCAATGAATCCCGTTGACCGAGGCAATCGGTCACCGCACGCTACACTGCAAAAGCACTGTGCAAAGCAGGTTTTTTTTGCAAAAATTTTTCCGTTTTCTTTTTTTTTTTTTGCGGATTTTTTTCTCTATAACAATTTTTAGTGTTTTTTTTTAAATAAAAAAAAAAACAAAATTATCAAAGTAGATTTCGGTCTGGGTTATATCAGGTCCCTCTTAAGGCGAGGAAAATCCACCGGGCGCGCGAAACTGGTTTAGACTTATGTCGCTCCTTTTTCCCCTGTTCAACAATTTCTCATACTACGTACCGGCACCTGCGCGGCCCGCGCCCCCCTTGGGCCCCCCCTGGGCCCCTCCAGGGGCGTGGCCGCGACGCGGTGAGATCATTCTCGCGGCCGATTCGCAGCGGGGCCCTACGCGGTACGACGGCCTGCCCGCGGTTCCTGGCTTTGTCTCGCCGTTGCATCATCGGCACGCGACAAAATCAAACCCCTCGACGCGAAAAATGAACGCTTCGCTCGTGTGTGTGTGTGTGTGTGTGTGTGTGTGTGATGAACGGCGCGGCGGCCGGGCGTTGAACCCGCGCCCCTTCGCACCCTGCCCTGCCGGCCGCCCTGTAGAGACTGATTCCGCCGGAGGCCCCCCCTTCCCCTCCCCTCTCTCTCCCACTCGTGCGACGTGCCCTGTGGGTGCGAGAGAGACGCACCGACGGCAGCCCTATGCGTCCGCCGACACGAGCCGCTGGGAAAACGGCCTCGCGTGTCTTCCTGTCAATGCGAGCGTGCCGGCCGCAAGTAAGGAGCCAGCACCTAACGCGGTCAAATTTCGAAAAAAAAAGATGAAAAAAAAATGTAAAAAAATTTTTTATATTAGTAGAGAACGCTCCTCTCCTGCAAGCAAACAAAGGAAACGTCAGCAGTGTAACATTTACCTTGGAGAAGATCTTGGAGTCCGTGCTTCGATACCGATCACTGGCACGATGATGCCTGGTGAATGGCGCGGCTTTTTAATTCTTGCGAATCCCGCGAGGAACGGGTAGTGGGAATGGTTTGAGCAGGCGGGCTGCGGGGGACTTTAATTCAGTCGGCCTCCTCCCTGTCGGCCAGGCTTGTGGCCAAGGGGAAATCACTGTGAATTTCGGTGTACAAATCCAATGAATTTCAGTCGAAATTCGATGAATTTCCGTCGAGTCTCGATGAGTTTCAGTCAAATTTTGATGAGTTTGATGAGTTTCAGTGAATTTTACAAGTTTGATGAATTTCGGTGTACAGATTTGGCTGGAGTTATTTTCCCTTGCTTGTGGCCAGGCCTGCAGGCAGGCCGCCACTCCCGTCTTGGGCTGGCATGTCAGACATGGTGCTGCTTGCGGTACACTTGCACTGCACTTGCACACTATGGAGGTATGACCAGCAATTAGCACCTGTTTTGCCGGTGACCCTACGGAGAGAGACCTCTCTGTGTGAGTGTGCGAGAGAGACGGCGACTGTTTATGTGAGAGAGAGACAGAGAGAGAGAGAGAGGCGGGGCATTCTGTCGGCACGTTGCCGACTGCTATGGCATCCTCAGTGCCTCCCTCGTCCGCAATCGGATAATAATTGTCGTTGAAACTTCCATTTTCGCTTCCATGTATTGAGTCATTAGGAGAGCGGCACGCTGGGATATTCGCGAAAAAGTTAACGAGTGTGTGTGTGCGTTTGGTGCAGCACAACCTGTTGGATCCAGCAACAACAAGCACCACCACTAGAACAACAACAACAACAACAACAGCGTGACTCGTTTTAGCATAATGGAGAACCGCTTACCTAACACGCCGGAGTGTTCTACCGCCGCGTCCCGTCTTGTTCGCTTGATTTTTCCTCTGGCCGCGACCGGGGATCTTCAGCGGTTGTTTCGGTTTACGTGATACTATGTCGGACGCTCTAGGGTGCCTCTTACTTTTTTTTTTCAAACGCATTACATTATTTTAGTTTCATTAAATTAAATTTAGAATTTTGATGTTTAAAGAGGCTTTTTCTTTGACTCTGCCTCTCCAATAAAAGGACGATTCACCCTCACCCTAGTCGTGTTGCATTACTTTTGTTTCGTGCCGTACTTTTTTTCTATCTCTTCCCACCTCGCCTCCCTGTCTACCGTATGAGGCCTCAGACAGACAGACAGACATGCTGGTGGAGAAAGAGGGAGGTCATGGCCAATGGTCACGGCGCCTCCATGCTTGCCTCCATTTCTCCCGCGAGCCACGCTCCGCCACGCCCCGAAAATGCGTGCTGTGCCCGCCGCGCAGCAGGTCCACAGCGCGCGCAATTCAAAGCAACATCCAATCCGCGCCGCCCGCCGAAGACGCGCGCGTAAGTGGCCGTGTGTGTGTGTGTGTGTGTGTGTGTGTGTGTGTGTGTGTGTGTGTGTGTGTGTGTTGAATGGCCCCTTGCCGTGGCCATTCACACAATCCATTTGTATGAAAATGCGTTGGCACTACTGAATAGCAGTAGCCTGCTGATGGCGGGGCCCTTAACAACACGGAAAGAGGTTAGCCCGCGCGTTACCTGATTTGCTCCCTCTGGCTGCTCATCGTAAAAAAGACACGGTAAAAATAGCCGAGAAAATAGCAGCACCCGCGAAAAAAAAAGTTTTAAAGGACAGAGAAAAATGATTGGTTTTAAGTTGTTTACTGTTGTTTAAAGTTGCCCTTTGGAATTTAGAGTGGCACCTCTGAGACATGACTCATGACTCAAAACGTTCTTCACTTGACTCACACTCAACACTTGACTCTGAAAATTCTGAAATTTTCTCTGACAGCGTATTTTTTTGGTGGCTGGATCCATGGATCCAGCAGAAGACTGACTGCCCCATTTGACTCACTTCGACCCCGGCCACTTACTTACCCTACCTGCTGCTGCTGCATGACCCATATGACCCACGTGGCTCAGGCCCGGTCCCTGGCGCACGTCCCTGAGCCCGATTTATTCTGGAACCTTTGACAAATAGGCGCGGTTTGCCTAGAAGAAGGTCCCGGTGACGCAACGCCTCTCGGTGCGCGCTATGCCGCGCTGTGCGGCGCTGTGCGGCGCTATGCGCCTCTGCCGGGCCGGTGTTCCGTATGCCTCGCAGTGCTTTGTAGCCTCGCTCGATCACGAGTGTCGTTATTGCTGGGCTGCCATTGGCTGCCGTTGGCCGGCCGGACGGCAGGGGGCGGTGCGTCCACTTGGGCGCATTATGCTTCCTGCCGCAGAGTCATCGTCCAGTTTTAAGCGTTTTAAACGTTTCAATATCGCCATTAAACGCTCCGATTGACTGCCGCCGCATCCGCTCGCCTCCAAGTTCGCATCAGGGTCAGTCGTCGGTCGGCAAGGCTAGTAATTAAAAGGCAGCCAGACGACGCAAAACGAAAAGGAATCGGCGCGACTCGAACCCGCGTCCGATGACGTGGAAATCCGCGTCAACGTAAAGAACGCACCGCCGAGGCGGTCCCTCTCGGGTCCCACGACCCTTAGCCCGCCGCGTGGTGCGAGACCACCTCGGTGACCACTTCTCTCTCTCTCCCGCTTGCGCGCACACACGCACGCACTTGCCCGGGCACATTTTGTTGCATATGTGCGTCGCCTGCCGTGCTGTGACCGCGTCGACCGTGCGTTCAGCTCACTGTACCACCAGGATTAGGAGGGAAGCGTTTTAATGAAGGTCGACCTTGAGTGTATGTGAGCGTGTTTTAGCTGATTTTGGTCGTTTTTTTTTCTGGATCGATTCGTGGTACCGAACTTTCCACGGGCGTTTTCTGCCTCGGCCGATCCGGACCCAATTCTCGGCGTCGATGCCGTGCGGACGGCGGTGCGTGTCGTATGGGAAAGCTCGCGGCGGGCCGGCCGCCCGGAGGCTGTTGTCGGGCTGCTGCAGGTCCGCGGCCCGGCGGCGGCGGCCCGTGGCCCGGCCGCACCGCGCGGCGCTGAGCGGCCGCAACAGTCAGTGCGCCGCCGACCGCCGCGCCGCGCGAACGCAGACCGTCCTGCCCGTGCCGCGGCCTCTCGCCTCGCTCGCCGCGCCTCGGCCGAGGCTGGACTTCCCCGTGGTAGAGCCGCAGCGCGACGGGCCGCTCGCGACGGTGGCAACAGTGCAGTGATGTGGTCACCATGACGACGCCACCGGGATGGTGGTGATTCTGATCGTCTCCCCGCCTCCCGGCGCCGCCCCCGACGGCGCTACCTACCACTACATTGACCACGGCAATGTAGGGCCCCTCGGGGGCGTGGGGCCCCACGCGGGGCACAAGCGCTCCGACCGGGACAGCGGGCACGGCACCCCGACGGGGACCCCCACGGGGACGCCGACGCCGTCCTCCGCCAACGGCCCCAACAGCTCCACCTCGGCCTCACTCTTGTCCTCTCTGTCCTCGCAGGTGGACCCCGACAACCTCCAGGCTACCAACAAGGAAGGTGAGTACGCTTCGTCGACTAACCAATTCCCCTGGGGAAGTGGTGGCGGACTCGACCACGTCTAACTAGAAAGAAGTCTATGTACGAAATTTCTAAATTAAGAGTGCAAGCAGAAATTTTGTCTGCACAGGGTGTAATCCCAGGATTTGATTCCAAGTGACAAGTTCACTTCTCGTTTCCTCCAGTAAGCTTGAACTCAAATTAAAATTCTTGACAGTACAGAACTGAACCTTGTCAATTGAACACGATCCGGGTCGCTCTGCGCCAATCTAGCCCCGCTATATGCCGCTCTGGATCGAATGACCTCTTGAATGACACTCGCCTCCCACTGATAGTCATCCGTACTGCTTTTAATAACGGGACCGAAGGCGTTGCTAATGTCTGAAATCGTTCACACCTCGCCCCCTTGCATTCACACACACAGACGCGCGCGCGCGCGCGCGCGCACACACACACACACACACACACACACACACGGCAGCCGATTCGGTTCCCTGTGGCCGCCCGGTGGCTTAGACTCGGCGCCCTTGCAAGATATTCATCGTACACTCGAGACGGGGGGCAGGGAGGAGGAGGAGAAGGTGCAGGAGGCAAAGAGGTGAAAAAAAAATGTGTGTGTGCTGGATGATGTCACACACTCTCGGCTGCGCTTTTGTCGCTTTTCTTCGTTTTGCACCACGCTGCAGAAGTTTGTTCAGTCTATTATTGTGCTTTCGTTTGGGCATATTTTTATATTTTTTTTCTCTGGCCGTTTCCATGCTTGCCGCGTGTAGGTTCCTCCCCTTTTTGTACGTGTAAGTCAATTTGTTGGCTTGAGGACGCGCTGCGCTTAGCTCTATCAAGTCTCGCTCGGCCGGGCTGGTGTGTGTGCGTGTGTGTGTGTGTGTGTGTGTGTAAGTTGCGTATGTAACGACGGCCGCGTTGTCTTGTTCCGCTGGAAAAAGGGATAGAAAAGCAGCAGTAAGCGCCCTCGTCTCGTCCCTCTCTTAATTCAGCCTGTCACTTTCGCACTCGCGGCCGCGTGCATGGCTAAGTGGCATAAATGCCGCGGAATGCCGCAGCACCCTGTGTCGTCCCGTCTCTGTCGCACCCCCGCGGGGCGCCGCAGCGCCGCGTGAGAGGGAGAGAGAGAGACGGAGGCTTCGAATTTAGTGCGGATCGGCGGCCAATAATGTTGGCGGCGATAAGTGCAGTCTCTCTCTCTCTCTCTCTCTCTCTCTCTCTCTCTCTCTCTCTCTCTCTCTCTCTCTCTCTTTCTTCCCGACGGCCGTCCACGCACGCGACTTCAGTTATTGATAAACACAGGCAACACGTTTCAGGTACTCGTTTTAGACTCTCGCCTGCCGACGCCTTCGCGGCTGTCTGCGAACGTACCTCATCGTCAGCGCAAAAACCGCCAAATCAAAAATTTGGAAAAATACTTTTACGTCGCAGAGTCGAAGGCCTCGTTAGGTCCGTCCGGCTTTGGGACGGCCCCTGAGAAAAACCTGCCGCAGCCATTCTCCACTCTTAAACCTAATCTGCCGCGCCGCGTGTGAATATATGCGGCGGCGAAGGGAGGGACCGGGCGGCCAAGGCCGGGCTGTCGCCGTGCCCGGCCTGCCCGGCCCCTGGTGCCCGGGCTCCTGGTCCGGGGCACGCCAGCGCGCCCGCGGTGACCCGGGTCGCTTCGGGAGTCAGCCCGGGGTCGAGGCCGTGGCTACACAGGTCCCCGCGCCACGGGGTGGGAAAAGAATATCCCGACCTTTCGCTTTTCGAAAGGCCTCTGCGACGCCCCAGCGCGCGCTGAAACAAAAAAAAACAACAGTGCGCCAAAACCACGCACCAACACCTGCGGGCTCCTCTCGGAACCTGAAAACTGGCGCGTTAATTACCCACGTAAACGCCCGAACTGCCGGGCCGACCCCCCGAATTTTATTTTCGCCGGAGTCAAAAGTGGCCGTTTTAAGTTTCAGCAAAGGGCTGCCGCCGCGCGGTAAAGTGGCGTATTGGTGGCCGGCTTGAAAGCTTGAGAGGAGGCACCCGACGGCCAAACGGATACTTACCGTCGAGAAAAAAAAAATGGCAAAAAAAATGGCGTCATAGGTGTGCGCGTATAGTTTCTTTCCCCGAACGGTTTCGGCCTCACACAAGTGACCCGCCCTAACAAGACCCGGCTTCGGCGTCCAATCGGCTCGGGGCGGCAAGGCACCGCCATGGCACCGCCATGGCACCGCCATTCAGCGAAACGTGTTGAAACGCCCGGCCGACGTATCGACGCATATCCAGAAGGCAGTGACAGGTATCGCTTCGAGATCTCGACATGCCTAATTATACCGGGCCGCCGGTGGGTACGTTCACAAAGACAAGCGGCCTTTCTTTCTTTGGCACTCACCCGCAGCGCGTTCGATACCGACCGACCGGGACCGACCGGCCGGGTACTAATTCCGTCATATCTATTCGAGCAGCCGGGCGGGCGCAGCGCGCAGCGGTGGTAAATGGCGGCTTGCGAAACAAGAGCTTTGTTTTTATATTTATCGCATTATTTTGGCGCGGTCTCAAGCGAGTGCCACACGTGCACCGCGGCGCTGCTGACTAAACCCTCTTTTTTTTAACGCCCCCTGTGAGTCAGGCGGCTGCCGGCAGGCCACGAGGTCGAGAGTAATCACTGCGCTTTTGATAGCGGGCGTCGATCAGAGAGTCTCGCGCCGCCCAGCGCCGCCCAGGGCTCTCCAGAACACATTCAGACATTCAGCGGCATTTATTGGACCTGACGTAACACGAACAAAAGCTCGCACTCTGTGTGTGTGTGTGTGTCTGTGTGTGTGCACGCGTTGCCGTAGGTACCGTTTAGGCCCAGGCATTTAGATGGATTGGAGTATCAGGAATAGGACTGTAAAGACTCTGGACGACGTGTATCGGCATCCACACACGCGCACGCACACATACACGTGTGCCGTGGCGGCAAGCACATCAGGGCTTAATTTTTGTGGTCGGCCGTAAAGGCGGAGAGGTCTGATGTCAGCGACGCGGCGGAGACGCCGAGTCTTTGGCTTGGCGGTGCGGTGCGGCGCGGCGTGGCGGCGTGCGTGTTTGCGGGGTAATAAGACGTGTCGGGCATCATCGGGGCGGCAGGGCTGCGCTGCTCAGCGCGGCGGCAGGCAACGCGGCGGCAATTAGAAGGCACTTGTCAGCGCGGGCTTCCCGTCTCTCTCGCACCCCCGCGGCGCGCCGGCCCGGCCCACCGGTGGGAGAGAGACGGAGCGATGGTGTGCCTCCCGCTGGATTCGGGCGGCGGGGCGGTGAACCCTCAGAGGGCGCCTCTCCGCCACCCAGGACGCCCGAGAGCACCACAGTGGGCCAGAAGGCCGGTGGAGGCGGCCAAAACTCTCGACGCGTTTTGAGCTCCAGAGTCGCTGAGTAGGCCTCGAACCGAACGTGTGACCCCACCAATGGATTCCTCGTCCGGAGAGCAACCCATTGGTGGGGTCACACGTTCGGTTCGAGCCCTATTCAGCGGCTCTGGAGCTCAAAACGCGTCCGGGATTTTGGCCGCCTTCACCGGTCTTCTGGCCCACTGTGCGCCGAGTGTAAACACAAGGAGCTTCACCGCCGACGGCCTGCTTGCTTGCCGGGCCCGCCAACGCGCGCGCGCCGAATCCGCGGCTGACGCTGACGCTGGCCGCGAAGGCGCGCCGGGGAAGCCTCTCATTCGAGGCTTTGAAAGCCTGAAATCGCATTGGCGCCGGTAGCGCACCTGGAATGCCCGTCTTCTCGGCCGGGATTGTTTCCTCCTCGATTTCAAGGCACTACTTTACCTGCTGCCGCGTCCCAGTTCGGCCGCCGGATTTCGGTCGTGGCGCGCCGCGGACTGCAGTCGCTCTGTCTCTCTCGAGGGGCGCCCCGTCTGGGTGCGAGAGAGACAGTGTGCCGGCCAGGTGGGCGTGATGAGGCCGGCTAGCGCCGAGCTTGTCGCCGACGCGCGCGACAGCCCGTGAACTTGGCCCCGATCCGTTGTCGTTGTCCGGCGCCGCCGCCGCCGGCGAATCAGGAAGGAGAGAAAGAGATTCCAGCGGCAAGTTTAGACATCAGCACGCTAAAAAAAAATTCGGAAAAACGTGGAATTGGTGGTAGGAAAGCCTTGGCACGAATAAATGCATCTGCGCTTTGATTTCTAGTTTCCAGCGAGCGGCACGTCGGCGCTCGACTATTGTCTTCTCGCCGACCGGCTCGGCTGGGCTCGCCGGTATAAATCCGCCATCCGCCAGCAGCAAATAATAATGCCCAGCGCAGACTGATTCCGAGAGTCGTTTTCGTCGCTCTGTCTCTCTTGGGGCGTTGGCGTTCCGTGTAGTTGCGAGAGAGACAGAGCGACGACTCTAGGGATCAGTCCGCAGGCCGGCGCTTGACTTTGGGGCTGTGTTGACCGTTTCGCCACCCGCATAAGCAGCTGGTAGCGTATCGGATCGTGCGCCGCTGTTATGACCGTCAGTCCGGCCGGCCGGCCTGTGGCAGTGCCGTGGCGTGCCGTGGCTGTGCTAGCTGCTCTGGTTGGCCGGCAGGCTCCACAGGCGTCGACGCGGTGCTCTGCTCGGCGTCGATACGGCCGGCACGATCGCCGTGGCCAGGCGCCGCGGCACTCTGGTCGTGTCGATGACGTCCGTGATGACGATGGCCTCCGCGACGCACAGTGGGCCAGAAGACCGGCGGAGGCGGTCCGCATCCCGGACGCGTTTTGAGCTCCAGAGTCGCTGAATCGGGCTCGAACCGAACGTGTGACCCCACCAATGGATTGCTCTCCGAACGAGGAATCCATTGGTGGGGTCACACACGTGCGACTCTGGAGCTCGAAACGCGTCTAGAGTTTGGCCACCGGCGCCGGTCTTCTGGCGCTCTGTAGGCACTTCTCAATGAAATTCCGCATTTTTCTCCGCGGCGGGTGCGGCGTGTTCTGAGACCCGGCCGCGGACACGTCCGGTCGGCAGAATTTTCCAATTGAGTTATTAAATGGGTAACGACTC